AATAAACTCATAGATACAGAGAACATTTTGATGGTTGACAGATGGGAGGGGTGTTGGGGATGAGTGAAAAAGGGGAAGGGATTAAGGAATACAAATTGGTTGTTACACAGTAATCATGGGAATGTAGGGTAATAACATAAGGAATATAGTCAATAATACTGTAACAACTATGTATGGTGTCAGATGGGTACTAGATTTATAAGGGTGATAGATGGGAGGGGTTTGGGGAACAGGGTGTAAAAGGTGAAGGGAGTAAGAAGTACAAATTGGTAGTTACAAAATAGTCATCAGGATGTAAAGTAAAGCATAAGGAATATAGTCAATAATATGGTAATAACTATGTATAGTGCCAGGTGGGTACTAGTCAAGGGGATCATTTCTTAAATTATTATGTCTAACCACTATGCTGTACACCTGAAATTAATATGAAATACTATTGAATGTCAACTGTAATTGAAAAATTTAAAAGAGGGCAAAAGGTGAAGGGGAATAAGAGATCCAGGTATAAAACTAATAAGTCATGGGGATGTAATGCACAGCATGGGGAATATAGTCAATAATACTGTAATAGCGTGGTACAGTGTCAGATGGTTGCTGAACTTATCATGGTGATCACTTCTTTAGATATATAAATGTTGAATAACTATGGTGTACTCCTGAAACTAATATAATATTATATGCTGTATTTTTAATAAAAATCTTAATAAAAAAAGGAGAAGTAATTTCTGCTGTGGTCACTAAATAAATAAATAAATAAATCTAGATAGATGATGATAGATGATAGATAGATAGATAGATAGACAGATAGATAGATATAACAGAATAGGATATTTATCTCTCTCCCCTATTGGTTCTGTTTCTCGGGATAATCCTGGCTAATACAAAGCTGTGGCAATAATCCATTAGAACAATGAGCAATGATAATAGCTTGGACTTGATAGCAGTGGAGATGGTGAGATAGAGTGTGTAAGAAACACTTTGAAGGTAGAGTCACTGGATATGCTAATGAATTAAACATGGGAAATTGAAAGAAAATGAGGCACCAAGGATTACTCCCATATTTTTGGCCTGAGCAACTGGGAGAATGGTAGTACCATTCAACTGTTATGAGAGAAGCTGATGAGCTAGATAAAAAAAGTTCACAGCCGAGGGGAGAGGTCAGGCTTGGGAGTGAACAGGGCATATACCGATGGCACTAAAGTCCTTGAGACTGACTAAGATCACCAGTCTTGGTGACTGTATACACAGGAAAATGGTCCGAGGACTGAGCCCTGGAGCCCCTGGGGCATTCTAAGGTCTAGAGGTCAAATAGAGAAAGAAAAACCAACAAAGAAAACTGAAAAGATGGGCCAATGAGATTGGCAGAAAACCCGGAGAGCGTGCATCCCAGACACCAAGTGAAGAAAGTGCTTTATTCCAAGAAAGATGGAGTAATTGGCTGTGACAAAAGCTCCAGGGGAAATGGTCAGTTGGGGGCAGAGAGAGTCGTGGGCTCTGGGGCACCACAGTGATGGGCACTGGACAGGAAATCCAGTGTGGAGAGAGGAGCAACCCAAATACACACACAACCCAACCGTCGTGACATATTCTGATTGAGGCTTCCACACAGAGACCAGAGTCCAGGCTGGTGCCTCAGGCACTTCCCATGCCCCTAAAAAGGAAGTGCCCTGAGAAACATCAATGTACACTGACACAATGAGAGTAATAGCAAGAGTTTGCCGTCTGTGGTTTTGATGGATGGTGGGTCATTCATGAAGAGATCAGGAAGTGATGGGTTGAAATATGAATTTAAGTCACGTTAGGCTTCTAAGGAAGTCACACCTTGTTCCCAGGGAAAGACTGGCACATGATGGGCCCTGGCTGGAGGGGCTGGAAGGTGGAGAAAGGAAGAAGAACATGGCCCCAGTGGTTTCCAAACCCAACATGTTTTGTTCCTTGTCTCTTAGTGTGGGGCCAATGGAGCTAAGCTTGCTATGGTGAGAAGAGCAAGGATTTGTAAGTAACGCAGCCTCATGACAACCTCGAAAGCTGAAGACTGACCATTTTTATTTTTTCAAATGAGAACCTGAGATCACAGAGGTGGCGTAACTTGCTCAAGGTCATACAATTGGTCAAACCCAGCTCTGGGCCAATGGCACATCATGGTGTTTAGGCTGCACAGGACTAAGATCAGAACTTAGTAGGTTCAGAGATGGGGCTTGTCAAGGAGCGCTCCATGAAGAAGACTCACAGCATGGCCCCCACAGGTCAGGCACATGTTGCAGAAACAAGTCCCGGGATCCTCTGGAACAGGACTTTTCAGTCTTTCCTCATGATATCCACTAGGTTCATCACTTCTTCCACTTACTGATGAAGAAATGGAGGCTCAGAGAAGCTAAGCAACATACTCAAGATCACACAGCTGAGAAAGGCTAAAGTCTGGGTTTAAACCCAGATGTCCTTGCCTCCAAGGCCTGTGTTCCATTTTATTTTTTCTTTTTTTTTAAGATTTCTTTTTTTTAATTGGGGAATCGGGGAAGGGGAACAGAAAAGTTGCTGTCCCTTTGTTCCTCAGTCTAGTTGTGGGGGACGTCGCTTCACTGGCCCATGTTGGTATTATCATTGCGCTCTTCCCGGGTGAGGCAGATCAGTCACCGGCCTCTGGACGGCCACTTACGGTGGCTCCTGGAAGCTCACACCAGCTGCCGGCCACTCACGCTGGCTGCCAGCCACACACAGTAGCTCACAGCAGCCCACTGCAGCAGGGGCTGCAGCCTATGCCATCGCCGGTGACTCACGGCCACCCAGCTCCAGGTTGAGCTATTGTTCACCATCTTAGCTGTAGAGGGCAGTGTCACTGGCCCTCATGTGGGATCCGAACCAGGGCCCTGCTGCTCAGAGCTGGCGTCCCAAGCCAGCCCTTAACCAACGTGCCACTTGGCCGGCCCTATTCCTTTTTCTATAACACCATAAGCTGAGCATAGACAAGAATTCCAGAGATTAAACCTGCTCACCCCTCTTACTTCCACAGTGACTGTAAAAAATGATATAAATGGAGCCACTTTAAAATGGAGCCAGAGCTGCCATGCCATAGGCGCTGCCTTGCATGTCTTATGCCTCAAACCTTTGGAATGTTAAAACAGGGCAAAATAACCTTTGGATTGAACCTAAAGCAACATTGTGCCCCCAAAGAATTATTTGCAAAAATAACACGAAAGCGTATGTTATGACTACCCAGGCTGATGACTACCGGCCTGAAAATTAAAAACATTTAGAATTTACATCACTATGTTATGTTATCTGCGCCAATAGAAATGCTTTCCTTCTATTGGTGTATTTATTCCCCTTCCTTTTCTCATAAGTACCCCTTGCCTTTATCTCCTAATTGGAACATCATTTGAGCTTCTGCCTGAATCAATGCTTCCCAAATAGCTGTTCTTTGATCTCAAATCAATGCTCGTTGCCTCTCACTTTAAAAGGCCTTTTATTTTTAGGTTAACATGACATTAAACATGGTGCTTGACCTTGTTGGACCTCAGGTTACTCATCTGTAAAATGGAGACAACCATTACACCCATCCCATAGGAGTAAACAGGGTTATGCCCATGAAACAGCATTGCACCGAGCACACAGTACATGGTCAGGAAATGAGAACTATTGTTACTGATGACTATTTTCAGTTTACACATGAGAAAGCATGTAAGAGTCCGTTAATTTCTTCATACTCTAAGGAGGAGAGGCTGAAGTCTGGATTCAAAGCCAGACATAGGAAATACCAAAGTTCACTCAGCTTTTTTTCCATTTCACCCAAGATAAGAAAGGAGATGAGTGTTTCGGGCAGGTGGAATGCATCAGAGAAAGCATGAGATGAGATCAGGTGTGTGAGAGCAGAGTTGGTTTGTGGAAGTGTGATGACATCAGATGTTGGGCACAGGTTGGAGAATGGGCCTTCCCTACTTAGCTGGGCTTTCTGGGCTTCAGTTCAATATTATGCATGGGTGCCTACCGCACGCCAGGCTCTGTGCCCGCAGAGCTGAGCCCTGGCGTGGGCACTGTTTACAGCTGCCTGGGCAGACAGAGGTGATAATGCCTGTGGACTTTGCCTTCTTCTCCCTGACCCAACCTTCAACCATGGAGGCAGCGGGTCACACATGGCCTGGGAAGCCAAGGGCCCTGCTATGGGATGTTACTCCTGAGAAGAGGGTGAGCTCAAGTGGGCCCCATCACTCTCACAGCAACTTCACGTGGTGGGTTCTAGCGTTCTGACATTTGATGGAAGAGGAAACTAAGACTCAGTCAGAGCTGCTGTAACTTGTCCAAGATCACACAGCTGCAGCAGGACCACGCTGTGGACCTGGGTTAATCTGTGTCCAAGGCCAGGCTTTTTCCTCCATACTGGGTGAGGCTATTGGCTTCGAAAAGACATGAATGGGTGAGATGAGTCAAACACGGCCTGAGGGCACACAGACACCAGTGGGAGATGCAGTCAGAGGCAGGTTGAGGGCCTGGGACCGGACTGATCAAAAGGATGGTCCTTAAATAGAACCGGGGAGAGAGGTAGGTCTGGGGGCACAGAAAGCCCTGTATCTGCTCATCTTGCCATGGGCCAGCCTGTTTGCATCTTTTGTCCAGAGAAGAACCATGGGCTGACGTGAGTCCCTGCCCTGCCACTGACTAGCTTTGTGACCTGGGGTGAGTCACTTTACCTCTAGAACATCACTTTCCCTATCTGTAAAATGGTCTCCTTATCATTTCACTCACAGCGGTGTCTTAAGGAGCAAAGGAAAGTGGTGTGAGCCAAGGCCCTCCCACGGAGACCCACACACACGCTTGACTCACAATATCATGTTCCGACGTGTTCTGGGCCTCCCTGCCCTCACCACCCCCAAGCCACTCCCTAAGAATGGGAGTACCCAGTTAATGAGTGACCAGGGTGCTACAGCCTGACTATAAATTGCTGCTAGCCAGGGAAGCAGGTGGCAGCCAGGTGGGCGGCAGTGGTGGGGTACAGAGGGAGCAAGATGGGTGGCAGGACTGTGGCAGGGCTTCTGTCTGGAGCAGCTGTGTTCCTCCTGGTGCTCTTTCAGAGCACAGAGTCAGTCTACATCCAGGTGAGTCCTTCCGGCCAGCATGCCCTTTGACTGAAGGTTCCCACGGTAAGAGACTGGGATGGAGAGGGGACGCTAGGAAATTCATGGGCTACAGAGGAGCACAGGGCCCAGGGCTCAGCCCCACACCCACTCACAGCTCAGGGACTAAGACAGCTGTTTGGTGAGGGCAGCTGGCATGCCTATGGTTATGGTGACGGTGACAATAGCAATAATAAACTGCTGATATTCAGCATTGCTCTCCTTGAAGGCCAATCCTGGTCAGAGTGTGGAACATAATGTAGTCCCTGTCCTTGAGATGCCCAGAAGGGGAGGGAGACTATTTCTGCTCCTGCAGCTCTTTGCAGTCACCCATGTGAGGGGTGCGGTGGGGTAACCATGAGAAAATGCTTCCGGGGCAGCTAACTTGAGTTGATATAACTCCAGGACGAGCAGGAGGTAGACAGGCACGAGGACGCAGACTGCTCCAGGCAGAGGGCACAGCATAGGAAAAGCCCAGAGAGAAGACAGCAGGGAGTCCAGGTCTCCTTCCAGGGCACCTCTGAGGCTAGAAGGAGTCATGGAAACAAGACCCATCTGCAGTGTGCCGGATGTCGCTGGCCTCTCCAGCACGGCCGCGGAAGTCTGTGGCTCTGGGTGTCTCACGCTCCTAACTCTGGGCAGGGCTTCCTTGAGAAGCAACAAAGGTGGTCCTTGGGATGGGGAAGAGTCTTAGCCCCCCCAATGCAGCCCTGGCCGTGGGGCCCAGTTAGCTTGGGGCTGCCATCAGTTTTCCATGTTGGTTCAGGAGAGGTCACCCAGTTTGGGAGTTTGCCCTGGGTACCAGGCACCCAAGGAGGAGGAAATTGGATTACCTTTGTTTGTCAGATGAGGCTTGGAGTGGGGAAGAGACAGGCAGCTGGTTGGGAAGAGCTGGATTTGAACCGGGGGCCTGCTGGTTTCCAAAGCCCATGCCTTGAGCCACTGTGCTCCATAGCCGTACTGTGACCTCATCTACCAGCTGCTGGGGGCCTGTGGCACAAGGGTATGACGTGTCAGACACCAACTCCCACCTCCCAGGCTGTCTTTCAGGTGTGGCCTGAACTTTCCCTGAGAATAGGGAACACTCATGGGGTCTGAGGAACCCCGGTCTCCCAGTCCAGGTTTTGAAATCCTACCATCTCCCCCCGCCCCACCTCTACCCAGTACCAAGGCTTCCAGGTCCAGCTGGAATCTGTGAAGAAACTGAGCGACCTGGAGAGACAGTGGGCGTTCAGCCCCCGCCTGCAGGCCTGGAGCACCTTGCCCATCCCGTGCTACCACCTGGCCCTGCCGCCTGATCTCAAGCCCATCTGCACCTCCAGGGAAGCTGCCAGCATCTTCAAGTCCTTGAGTGAGTGCCTCTGCCCTTGTTCTCTTCCTCCCCACATCCAACCTCAGGTTCAAGTTCCTCTACCTCCTGTTACTTCTATTAAGTACCCAATGTCTGAGGACAGGGAGATTCAAGAAACCCAGTCCCTCACATCCCCGGTTTGGGCACCAAGTCAGGCTTGAGGAAACCCCTCAGCTCCTGACAGCCTGGACTCGTTGGTTGTCCTACCTGAACGATTTTACAGAGAGGAAGGAAGGGGCCCTGGGAAAGGAACCCATAAGCAATGATTGCAGTGCAGCGGGGTGATGGGGGGAGCACAGTGGGGACACCGAGGAGAGATGGCTCACATCTGGGCCGGCATAAGGAGTCTGAAAGGCTTTCAGGAAGAGGCGATGTCTATGCTGAAATGTGAGGGACACGGCAGAGCTCTCCAGGAGAATCTTTATTGAGCACCTAGCCAGTGCCAGGCCCTGTCGCAGTCCTTTTGCCTGCATGCTCTCCTCACAAACACCCTGTCAGGCTAATAGTGTCCATTTAGGAGAAAGGGAAACTCAGACACAGAGTTTAAGTGACTTTCCCAGGCACCACTAGGAAGGAGAGGACCTGGCACCTAAGCCCCTGTTCACTCTGCTTCTAAAATTTCCTGCTCTTAACCTGTGAGAAAGATGCCAGTTCCCTCCCTCAAGCCGTCTTCTAAGCAGGCCTTCTCTGGCTGCCTGGCCAGCAGCTCCCAAGGCCACAGATGTTTCACGCTCAAGTTCGGTTTTCTTCCCCTGCCCAGAGACCATCGCTGAGGACAACTGCGAGTTGTGTGAGAATGTTGCCTGTACCGGCTGCATCTGAGATGGCCCCAGGTGCCCTGAGCCCACCCTGGACTCCTGCATCCCCAGCCCACTGGCTTCACAACCCCCACCCCCATCCAAGCTTTGGTCATGTCCTCGTCATTGCCATGGTCATTGCCACCCTCTAGAGCCAAAGCAGCTGGATCTGGCGCAAAGCAGTTGGAGGAGAGTTTGGCCCCTTAGGCAGCCCTGCTGCTGAATAAAGGTTCTCCATCCACACGTGGGGTCAGGTGTCCATTTGTTCATCCCCAAGATCCGAGAGTGGAGCTTCTTGGGAAGCTGGGTGGGTGGAGGAGAAAGGTGGTACTAGAGTCAGGAATTGCCCTGGTTTCCAGCACCTAAGGAGTTGGTTCAATAAGCCTTATTTCATGTAAGAGGGAGTGGGACTCAGAGTGGGAACAAGTCACCCGAGATCACAGAGCTAAGAACACTCAGACCCACCTGACCCCCTAGCTGAGCTCAAGGCCTAGCCCAGCTGCAGAGCAAGAGCATCTACGCTCCTGACCAGGGATGGGGGGAGGATGGGGGAGCTTCCTCCAGCAGGTGGGACTGCAGGAGCGGGTGGAGGGAAGGACCATGTGGTGCCCCCTCCCCTGGTCCTTAGTCAGCCTGGTGGCCTCCAGGGCACCTGAAAAGATGGGCCCTTGGCCTTCATCCTTCTGTGCCTGAGCTCCCATCTTTCTCAGGCTGTCTGGGACCATCTGGCCAGCTCTGGATAGAAGACTTTTCCTCCCTCTCTCCGTCCTGATGGCCCTGAAAAATATTAATATTAATAATAATAATAATAGCCATAATTTATTGAGCATTTGCTATATCCTAGACACTGTTCTAAAACCATTGCACGTATTAACTCACTAAGTCCTCACAACAGTCTCATGAAGCAGGTACTATTATCATTACTATCTCCAAATAAAGAAACCCGGGTACAGAGATAACTAGTCCAGGATCACAGGCTCAGCAAAGCAGGCTTCTTCCCGGGAAGTCTGGGCCAGAACCCATGCTCTGAACCACCATGTTTCTATCTTCTTGTGACCTCTGGCCAAGGGGGCCCCATGCCACCACATCTCTCAGTGGCCTTCAGTGCCTTAACGCAAGGCCAGGAGCCAACTGGGAATTCCCTCCTTCCCAGCCTTTATTCTGGGCAGCTGGAGAGGAGGAAAGCCGGGTACAAAGGGGCCATGCCCCCTGAACTCAGCTCACCCAAGGGTAAGGCCAGGGAGAATTCCCCCAGACCTGCCAGCCCTCCTGACTGCCCAGTTCTGCTCATGAGTCCTGCAATCGCCCAGTCCGCCAGGCCACAAACCCCAGGGCTCCAGCTCCCTTCTCGTCTCTCCCCCACAGGCTAGAGTGGCTGGGGCTTTGCAATGCCTCCTGTGTCTCTCTGGGCCCCTCTCATCCCTTTACCATTGCTTGAGGTGGGCCCTTATCACACTACTCCCAGGAGGGGCCCGAGCTTCCTCCTGCCCTGATTAGCACGCTTACCACACCAGAGGAATGTCACAGCGCTGTTCTGATGGTGCCTGTCCCCCTTCCATGGCTTCCCAGTGCCACCTCTCAAGTCTAAAGCGAGCCCATGCGCCATCTGGCCTCATCTCCTACCACTTCCTTCAGCAGCGCTGGGTTCCCACCTGCCTGGGGAGGAGGCAGAGAAAGGAACTGCCATTGACGGAGCATCTTCTATGGCCAGGCACAAGGCTTAGCCATCAGTACAGAAATAATAATAATAATAATAATAATAACAACAACAATAGCAGCATCCACAAAGTGCTCACTATGCACCTGGCCGATGGAGCTCTAAGAGCTTTTCCTGTATTACCTCATTTAATCTTCACTCAATCTTACCTTAGTTAGGGTTAAAAATAAAAGCTTTAAAACAACTCATTTCTGGGGCGGCCAGGTGGCTCAGTTGGTTAGAGCATGTGCTCTTAACAACAAGGTTGCCAGTTTGACTCCCACATGGGATGGTGGGCTGGGCCCCCCGCAACTAGATTGAAAGGGCGACTGGACTTGAAGCTGAGCTGTGCCCTCCACAACTAAGATTGAAGGACAACAACTTGACTTGGAGTTGATGGGTCCTGGAAAAAACACATTGTTCCCCGAAAAAACATATTGTTCCCCAATAAAGCTTTAAAAAAAAAACAAAAAAACACACACAAAAAATAAAACAACTCATTTCTTAAAGCTCTAAAAGCAGAATCTCTCCATCTCATACCCATTTTACAGATGAAGAAACTGAGGAAACGGGCTAAGTGAGCTGCCCAAAGTCTCACAGCTGGTAACAGGCAGAGCCAGGACTCACCCAGAGAGTTGGGCTCCAGAACGGGAGCGTTAAATGATCCTGCTCTACCATACACCTCATCAAACCCCCTGCAACCCTAGGAGGCAGGATCTGTGACCATTTTCGGCTGAGAAAACCAAGTCCCAGCGAGGAGTGCACGGCTTGTAAATGACACACTAGCGCTCAAACCCCAGGCTCCTCCCCATCCATGTTTTATCAAACAGAAAGCATTCATCCACCTGGCCCTAGCTGAGCTAAACACTAAACATGGAGAATTGGTGGACAAGTACCTGCTATTTTATTATGAATGGCATCACGCAGGAGAACGGGAAGCCAATGCTCTAAAGGCCAAACTCCCCGATGGTATGTAGGTTACAGATTACATAGGGCCAAATCACAAGACAGCGGGGGCTAGGAGTTCAGGGTCCCATTAGGAGCTGATCAGTGGGAGGTGAGGTCAGGGTAATAAATCACTTCTTCAGGTCATAAGGGACACCTCTGAGGTCTGCTCTGGCGTCCCTCTGTCTGATCTCATGGAAAGGTAGCCAGTGGGGACCGTTCCACCTTAAGACTTAGGAGCTAAAACATAACTTAGGTCAAGATGTTACCTTTAGCTTAACAGAAACCCATACCTTGTGACTCTTAGTCAAGGCCCTTGTTTTTGGCCGCCTCAGGGGGTTAATGACTAGTAAGGGAAAGGGCTAGGGCTTCCAGGGCATGCTGGGAAGAAGCTGAATAGAAAGCTGGGCCTCCCTATAAATCAAAATCATACATTAAATCAGGACTCTCAGTTTCATCCAGCTGAACCATTCCAGTGCCTGGGACCTTCCTGCCTCTGCGTGTCTGCACCAACCCCATATTCTGGAATGCTGTCTGCCTCGCTACCTCCATGCTGGTTTTGAAATTCCATGTATCCTGATGCAAATCCCAAGGGCTAATGCAAATGCCTGCCTCCCCTTCACAAAGCCTTCCCTGAGGACACCTCATGCTCTGAATTCTGCAGCCCAGGGAATCCTGCCTGAGCCACCCTGTGACACTTCCCCTCCACCCCATTCCCCAAGAAGGACGCTGGATAGTTACTTCTGTTTCCTCATTCCCTCCACCTTTGCTAACAGGTCTCTTTCCACACCTCACCTCTTCACCCGTCTAAGCCATTCTCAGCTTCATCCTACTTCCCCTTTCTTTGATTTATTTGTTTTTACTGTTTATTTAATTCTCTTATGGCCTGAACTTGACATACACGTTTACCTGCATTATTTCACCTAGCCTGGGAGGGGGAGCCCAAGACACAGAGCAGGGAAATGACCTTCCTGACTTCACACAGTGAGTGAGGACCTGGGACTGGAACTGTGTAGCTCTTTCTTTCTCCTGCTCTGTGTTATAGTCTCATGCAATCATCCACGTGGTGGGCCTCACCCACTCTGGGGGACAGGGAGACTTCCCCAAGCACAGAAGTCATTAT